TGTGTAATATCACACCATTACTCTCTATTCACTACTATTTTATTTTCTTCACAATGCTTTTACATTCTGAAATATAATCTTGTTTCATTGTAGGTATGTAGTCTCTTTCTCCTCTGGCAGGAATACAAGCACTATGAAAGTAGGCACGTTAGCCTTTGCTCTATCGTTATCTTCTACAAAGTCCAAGGAATTGAAAGTCACCCCAAATTAAGGAAACTGAAAAGTGCTCAAAAGAAGAAGACTAATCCAAACAAAATACTCAATCTCAATTTCAGTAGCACTGTTCCTTTTGTTTATAAAAAGAACAAATAAGATCAGTAACTACCAAGCTTAAAACAGAAGACTACTTCTGCCACCTCACCTAGCACAGTCAATAAAAATAAGCCAGGCAAGCACTTCCACACAAAAGACAATATTTATAGATGTCCAGATGGAACACCATGCTGACATAATCCAAGGCAGCAATCTTACTATCCTAAACAGGTAAGGCTGTTATTTTAGGATTACAGAAAGGAAAACAAATACTACCATGTATTATCACCTTTTAAAAAATTAATCCAGCTCATAGGAGCAGCCTCCCATACCTTGAATTTACTTTACCTGCATGAATTAACATCCGCAAACATTCTATAGAGTTGTGATAAGCTGCTTCATGAATTGGCATCCATCCCCTGTTATCAGCAACATCCACACACCGGCCCTTTTTGAGCAGTTTCTTTAAGACTTTAACATTGCCCTCCCTGGCAGCAAGTCCAACAGTAGAGCATGTGTCTGAGTAAGCCTCTGTAAAATCCATTCTTTTGACCAGCCTACAAAACAAGGTAGAAAGATAATACTATAGTCAATAATACTCCTAGAGATTAGCATATCACAGTAGGCCAGTCTAGCATCTCTCATATGACTAGAGAGAAATACAGTCATGCTACAGCCTCTAATTATAGTTGAGCCTAAACCTGAAAGTCCCTAAAGTATTTCTAAGAATATTGTTTATAATCTCAAGAGAATTTTAAATACTTCATCTTTCCTAGTCTGGAAATATTTGACGAGCTCTTTCCAGGTTTCTGCTACTGTTCACCAAAGCATACTCTTTGGAGCTCTGTTGATGAGAGAGTTTAACACCTCCAGTGAATCCCAATATATGCTGCATTATGCAGAAAGCGTCATTTAAGTATCAGCAGTGCTCAACTTCTACATATAACTTTCTTCAGAAGACCCCAAAAAATGTTAACAACAACAACAAAAAAAGAGTAAAAGGTGTTTACTAAGAAGAACAAAGCAAATAGAGTAATTAAGTAGTCATCCTGGTTTTCCCAACACTGCTAGTCCTTTCCAGATGTTAACCACTCAGGTTCTCCACACTTGCTGAAACAGTCCCAATGAATGGATGTTCTGAAATCAACAAAGAGCTGCCACAAAGAGATGAGCCCAGCTTCCCTATACCAGCCCAGAATGTTCTTCACAGCAGTACTGCCCTCATCATCACTGTCATCTCCCTTTACAGCTCATTTCAAGTTCCCCTGAAGTCAGAGTTCAAGCTTTGAGTATAGCTTCAGGAAGGAGAGCTGTGGCTCAAAGTGGTAGAGCATTACCCTTTAGTGAAAAAGCAAAGGGATAAGAGCAAAGAGACCTGAGTCCAAACCCCAGAAACAGCGTGTGTGCGCATGCGCACACACGCACGCACGGACACACACACACACACACACACACACACACAAACTGAATGACACTGTGAAGCAAGTTGGGCTATAATCAAGTTTCTCAGGAAAACAGTTGTCTCTTATAGGACAAACTTTTTTAATAATGCTCCTATCACACATTTTCATTTTTCTAATCACCTTAAGAGGTACTAATTCCAGAACCAGGCATGGCTCAGCCTGAAATACTAGCTACTCAGAAGGCTGAGATCCAAGGATCTTGGTTTGAAGCCAGCCAGGGCAGAAAAGTCTCTATGAGACTCTTATCTCCAATTAACCACACAAAAACTGGAAGTGGCACTGCAGCTGAAGTTATTGAGCACTAGCCTTGAGCACAAAGAGGCTCAGGGAGACGCCTAGGCTGAGTTCAAGCACTACAACCAACAACAACAAAAAAAAGGAGGTAGTAATTCAGGAAATGCCAACATATCTACTTCGATAGAGGCAAGACTTTTTTCTAGAACCATATTCTAAGTAATTTATCCAAAAAAACAAAGACTTGAGAAAAGATATTTAAAATGTATATAAAACAATAAACTTAAAATTCATCATGATCATCGTTAATGGTGACACTATTACTGCAAAAGTTCATTATTTATTTATATCAAGAGGATTAGTAGCCATTAGATCAATAGATTCATTACTAGAGTATGTTAACTGTCAAACATTTAATTATACAATTAGCCGTTTAGATAAGCACCAACCAAATGATCAGTAATGGAGAGTATACACAGATGATATTGATGATGACATAAATCCTATCTCAAGTTGTTTTCAGTCTCATAGGAATAATATATATGACCCAAGATAGAAAATGGAGAGTGCAATAAGAGCAGTACAGATTTAAGAGACAAAAAATATTCAAGAAGTTGTTTCGGCTCAATAAAATATAAGAGTTGTACCTTACACAACAGGAAGGATTTTTTTTAAAAATTAGTCTTCTCTGGGGAGGATGCTGGCTGCAAAGGTTGAGGTCTTGAGTTCAAACCCTGATACCACTAAAGAAAAAAAGAGCCTATGGGCAGAAAAGCAACCCTAGCTCTAAGCAAAAAAGTATAATGCTAGAGGTATCCTACCTGAGTTCAAATTACACTAAGATCCATTGTTAACAAAAAGAGCATGGTACTTAAACAAATCAGACACATAGGCTGATGGAATAGAAGACAGCAGTCAGAAATAAACTCAGTTACTTCATTCTCAAAATAGATGCCAAAGCAATTGGAAAAAACTACTTCTTCAATAAACAGTACTGGGGAAGCAAACTGGATTTGCACTCATAGAAGACTGACAATAATTGCCGATCTCTCACCTTATACAAAAATAAACTCAAATTTATCAAATATCTTAATGTAAAACAGCTTTATTTCAACCCTAGTATGTGGACTATTGGACTATTCATAAGATGTCTCCTTCACAAAAAGGCCTGCGCTCTAGACTAAAAGACAATCCACAGTCAAGCAAATGTAATTTATAAACATCAGCTAAGAGTTAAATAGTGTGTGGCTTAGTAGTAAGAGTAGTTGCCTAGCATGTCTTGGGTTCAGTCCCCAGTACTGAAAAAGAAAACCTTCAACTAGATCCTGGATTTGAAGCAGGTAACTCTACAAAATAATTTTGAAATAATTAAGAAAACCCAAATATAGAATAGCTATTTGATGATGCAACTGTTATTAATTTTCTTAGATATGATAAAAAGCACTGGATATTAGGAGAATGTGTCCTTATTCCTCCATTCATGCACAAGTATTTAGCAATAAAATGCTCAAACACATGCAACTTTTTTCAAATACTTCAGAACTTTTAAAATATCTACCTAGAGAAAAAAGGAAAGCAATTGTAACAAAATATTAATCAATATTAATCATTGGGTATACATGGAGCATGAGGGCTGGGAAGGTGCCTAGTGGTAGAGTGCTTGCCTAGCATGCATGAGGCCCTGGGTTCGATTCCTCAGCACCACATAAACAGAAAAAGCTGGAAGTGGCACTGTGATTCAAGTGGTAGTGCACTAGCTTTGAGCTGAAGAACTGAGGGACAGTGCCCAGGCCCAGAGTTCAAGCCCCACGACCAACAAAAAAATTTTTTAAAAAGAAATTTACACGGAGCGTGTATGAATGCCCATTATACTTTCTAACCTTTCTGTATATTTGGAAGTTTTTTTTTTAAGGGGGAAAGGGAGAGTTACAGAAAATAACCATGCCAGGAATAGGAAACTACAACTTAAGGGAAAATAAGAAAAGTCTGGTTATCTTTAAACTTAAGATTTCCTTTTTAAAATACTAATAATACTTGGAACCTGAGTGTTTTAGCATTCTCTAAAAACACTGAAAATGATGAATAGAAGTCCTCAAGGATTTAATTTGGTTAAGAATTCACAAACATATACACAACCATAATCCAGGTGAGCTTCCTAAAGAATACTTTTGAGGGACTGCTCTAACCAGAAGATCTTAACATTTATTAGGATGTTTGACTAATGAACGCTATAAAGGTTTTCCCCAAAAGATTTAAATGTACACAATTCCAATTTTGTACACAATTTCAGTAGGCTCCTCAATGAGCTTTGAAAAGAGCCATAGCCTTGCTCTTTTCTAAGTAAGCTACTGAGAGCACTAAAATATACACGGTTCTTCTTAGCATAAACTTTAACTGTGTAAACAATTTACGTTGGCATAACAGTTGCTTTTTTGTAAGACTTTCATTGTCAATTTTGTTTTATCTGAAAGGCAAACGACCGATTTTGAACCATATGGATTACATTAATTCCAGCTTCGGCTCCTTTGGATGCTGTTACATACGCGGGTATCCAATTTTCAAAACACAAAATGCCTTTCTACTCGCCAAGTGTGGTGCCAAGTGTGACCTACCTACACGGCACTGGCCAAGACTCCGGGGCTCACCCTCCCCACCCCTCCCGTTAGCCGGGGGGGAGGGGGAGGAGGAGGGGGGCGGGTAAAAGTTTCAACTTGGGTGTCCCGGCCCTCCGAAAAGGATTGTGGGAATTGTAGTCCTCGGCACGAGCACACTAGAGGAAGTTTACCGATTTACCGAGGCTGCAGAAAAATCAGCTAGTTGGTACACAGAAGGTCAACGATCCTTTCAAACAAGGAAATGAAGCAATGCTGACTGAAAGGGAGTGGGAAACGTTCCTGGACTACAACCCCAGTGTGCTTTGCGCCCCGAGCAGCGGCGCAGTCATCGCGCCTGCGCCCCGAGCAGCCGGTTAAGTACGTCGGGGAGGCTGCAGTCCCGGCGGCGCAGGGAGACCCCGGCAGAGGGGTTGGCCGCCGCGGGACCCAGAGGCTCCGGCAAGATGTGGGTGTTTGGTTACGGTTCCCTGATCTGGAAGGTGGACTTCCCCTACCAGGACAAGCTGGTTGGGTACATCACAGACTACAGCAGGCGCTTCTGGCAAGGCAGCACTGACCACCGCGGGGTCCCGGGCAAGGTAAGGAGCCCGCAGGGCCCCCACGCCGCCCACCTTGCCGCTCCCAATCCGGGCCCCACGCCAAGGCTTTCCTGAGGCCACACACCTACACCTGCTTCTTCCTCAGCCCCACCTCTGTCCCAGACCCGGGCGCCCCCTAAAACTGCTGAAGATGCTGCCCGTCAGTTTCTAGAGGCGGCAAAACCCCGCGGCCACAAACACACTAGGTTTGACCACCCTGAAAAAAACGGGGAAGGGGATTTCACGCCACTACGAAAATGCAGTAGTACCACTCACCCTGAAAACAGTGAGCAGTTAAACGTGGTGGCATTTCTGCATTCTGCCAGACTCCCTGGCAGAATCTAAACGCGCTCGTATTTCTAGTTTGTCTTTCCAACGATTTATGAAATGACGCCTAAAACCACGTAAGAATTCGTTCTCAAAATCATCTCTGGTTATTAAGCTCATTTTGACTAGTTTGGTTATCAAGTACTAGTAAAGTTAACTTGGTTATATAAAAAAACAGCCCTAAACTCGTATTGCTTTAATATTTCTTCCTCAGTAGTTCTCCTAAATTATAAATGTTTAATATAAATTACTGGACCTATTTTTCACTGTCATATATTACTTTAAATACAAAAGCATTCATTTCTATATATGCATTCTGAGAATTAGTAGCGGCTAAATAGCTATGCAAATCAGCCTTGTATTGGCTGATCTACCTGACTAAAACTAAATTTGGAGTAAGTAGTAACTGAATGTGGCCACTTGTTTTGGTTAGCCTCCTAATCTTTGGGGAATAAAACATTGTTATTTCTTATTCTCTAAAATATTTTTGAAAATGTATGTGAGCTTGATTGCTGTTTTTAAGAGAAATTATATTGACCCAAAATCACAGTATCTAAAATACTGGAGATCAGATACACAATATTTACAATACTAGAAATCAGAAATAAGAAGAGAGTAGGGTTAATTACAAAGAAATCCCTACAGTTGTGGAAAGGGTAAGAGATCAAGGTTCAAATAGTATGCACAAGGGACTGAAATAATGGGAAGTGGGGACAGAGTTAGAAAACATTCTACCTCAAATAGAGTTGGCCAAGTAAGAATTTAATTCTAGCTGAGCACTGGTGGCTCATCCCTGTAATCCAGGCTACTGAGGAGGCTGAGATGTGAGGATCATGATTCAAAGCCAGCCTGGGAAAAGGAAAGTTTGTGAGACTCTTACCTCCAATTAACCACTCAAACACCAGAAGTGGAGCTATGGCTAAAAGTAGTAGAGTGCTAGTCTTGAGCAAAAGAGCTCAGGGACAGTACCGAGGCCCTGAGTTCAAGCCCCCCAACCAACAACCACCCCACCCCCCCAAAAAAGTTAAGTAACATAAAATATCTTTTGAGTTTCAGTTTTGATAAGATCACTTTAAATTGCCACTGAAGAGAAAGCCTTAGCCCAGGCTCCCACTTTAATAACCAAGTATCAAATAGGTACATGTGGTTATAATAGCATATTTTACAACTCCCAACTAAAATGTACAATGTGTTATACAGCAAGTCAAGATATGTATACTTCACACAGACTGATGATTAAAAAAAAAACTCAGTACAGCAGTTCATTATTCTTTTGTTTTGGGATAGTGGTGGGGCTTGAACTCTGGGCCTACAGTTGTCCCTGAGCTCTTCAGCTCAAGGCAAGAGCTCTACTACTTGAGCCACAGCACCACTTCCAGTTTTCTGGTGGTTAACGAGATAAGATTCTCACAGACTTTTCTGCCCTGGCTGGCTTTGAACTACGATTCTCAGATCTCAGCCTCCTTAGTTGCTAGGATTATAGGCATGAGCCACCAGCACCTGGCTCATTATGCTTTAAAAGGAAGAGAGACCTTGTATACTACTTAAAAGACCATTGGGGGAAAGGGAACTATAAAAAGCCATTATCTCCTTGTAGTTGTTTATTGAAATATAAGAAGGGAAAGATGGAAGAGAATGGCATTGCCAACCACTTTAAACCTTTTACTTTAGAAATACATGCTAGTAAATTAAAGGAAAATCCAAGTACTAAACATCTTTTTAATAGTGTTCTAGTTAAGGAAGAAGAAAAAACCTAGCTGGGCACAGTGGCTCACACCTGTAATCCTACCTACTCAGAAGCTGAGCAAAAAGCCAAAAGTAGAGGTGTAGTTGAAGTGGTACAACACCAATCTTGAGCAAAAATGACAAGAACACAAGGCCCTGAGTTTAAGCCCCAAGCAAAAACAAAAAATCTTAAGAGGTCTTCTCAACCAGCAGCTGGGCACAGTGTTTCATGCCTGAAATCCTAATTACATGGGAGACTAAGATAAGGAGAATAATGGTACATCAGGCTAGCATCAGAAAAAAGTTCCTAAGACTCCATCTCAGTGGAAGATTCAGGGCAGGATGGCATGCACCTGCTATCCCAGCTACTGCAGAAATAAAATAGGATGATCAAGATCCAGACACAAGATAGGGGATCACCATCCTATCTAAAACTATCCAGTGCAAAACAAAAGACTTCAAGTGTTGGACTGAGTCCCAGTGGCTCACACCTGTAATCCTAGCTACTCAGGAGGCTGAGATCTGAGGATCATGGTTCAAAGCCACCCAGGGCAAGAAAGTCTATGAACCTGGTTTGGGTTTTTTTTTTCTTTTGGTGCGGGTCCTGGGGCTTGAACCCAGGGCCTGGGTGCTGTCCTTGAGCTTTTGTGTTCAAGGCTAGTGCTCTACCACTTTAAACCACAACACCATTTCTAGCTTTTTTTGGTAGTTAATTGGACATAAGAATCTCGTGCACTTTACTGACCAGGCTGGCTTTGAACCACAACCCTCAGATCTCAGTTCCTGAGTAGTTAGAATTACAGGCATGAGCCACCGATGCCTGACCCAAGACTTTCATCCCCATTTATCTACTAAAAAGCCAGAAGTGGAGCTATGGCTCAGATGGTTGAGTGCTAGCCTTGAGCAAAATAGCTCAGAAATTGTGCTCAGACCCTGAGTTCAAGCTCCAAGATTAGTACACATACCAACAAAAAAATAAATAAAAAACCTGGGCATTAGTGGTAAAATCCCTACCGAGCAAGTGTGTAGGTACCACCCAAAAAAAAAAAAAATCATTTTTACTTCATTTTTTTTTTAATGGTATGAGGGATCAAACCCAGAGTGTTGCAACTCCTAGGCAAGCACTTTGCCACTGAGCTACATCCCAGACCTACTTCACATTTTTATTAAAGTAGATTTGGATCACCAGCCTTATGTAAATGTTACTTATCCAACAAAACAACAAAAGGTTTCAGAAAGATCCCTGAAGTCGGTATAACTTCAGATATTGAGGACACGAATCATGTTTTCACAACAGCCAGTACCCCAGTCAGTCATCAGAAAAGCCTCATCTTTTTTACACAAAAATGCAAAGTGTTCATCTCATTTCCACATAGTGCAGTGGACAAAATACTGAACCTACTTGATTTCTTAAATTATGCTTGCTTTTTAGCTTTGTTAAACTTTAATTAAGCATCTAGTTATTGCAAAACTGACAGTTTCTCTCTAAAATAACCATCTTATTTAGATGTGAAGGTTTTCCCTACAAGTGGAATATATTACAAGTTCATAAAAAGGAAACAGTTTAGTATTAGACAATTGGGAACATTTACTAAATCCGTAAGTTTCCAGACAGAGACATTACTCATTGAAAACACCCATCTGACTCATTTCATATCCTCCAATCCCAATCATCTTAGAAAAACCTCTGGTAAGTATCATTGCCCCTCCTCCCCAAAAAAATTCATTAAGTGCAGTTACAAATTTATATTTATTTTTGGGTCAAAGAGCTTATAAGTAAATTTACCAGTAGTCTGTATCCATATCATCTACCAGAAGTCACAGGATTCCTTTCACTTCCATTAAAATTACTCCCAGATATTCTTTTTTTCTGTCATTCCTGCCCCCACCTACAACCAAGACTTTTAATAATACTATTTTTTTAAAAATTAAAACTGGGGGCTGGGAAGGTGGCTCAGTGGTAGAGCACTTGCCTTGCATGCATGAGGCCCTGGGTTCAATTCCTCGGCACCACATAAGCAAAAAAGAAAAAAGCCAAAAGTGGCGCTGTGGCTCTTGTGGTAGAGTGCTAGCCTTGAGCTGAATCAGAGCTGAGGGACAGCGCCCAGGCCCAGAGTTCAGGCCCCCACCACCGGACCCAAAAAACAAACAAAAAAAAAAGTTAAAACTTAAGACACAAAGTTCATAGAATTCACAAACTGTATAGACCATTGATAATGACAATGTGCCTTGTGAAGGTTAAAATGTGTTTGTGACATTAACTAATTATCACTATTCCTCAATACTGTGAAATTTATGTAATCACCTAATCTCAAGTTTAAAAAAAAATGAGAGAAGGGATGGGTTAGGAGTGATGGGTGACAATGTTGTCAGACAACTTGTATTCATATACTATTTTGTAGAATGGGAACTTCTTTGTACAACTACTTAAATAATTAAAAAAAAAAAAACACAGGATACCTATCAAACCAAAATACTTGGTAAGGGCTACAAGGGAAATAAATAAAATTATCAGTGAGAGTTTAGGTGGAGCTACTGAATCTTCCTGGAGAATGAGCCAAAGCTTTATGGAGGAAATGGCCTGATATGCCAGGTAAACAAAGAGGGTGGGACTGCACACAGTACATTAGTATATTCAAAGATAGAAATGTTGTAAAGGTTAAAAGTCATTCAGTACATCCTGGAGGGGAAAGTGGGAAGAAATGAAGCTTGTAGTTAAATTATGCTAAGGAATTTTCATTTTACGCAGTACACTATCAAATATTAAAGTTTCTAATCCAGATAGAAATTCTGAAGCCAGCAGAATATAGACTAGAGGGAAGCAAATTAGAGACAAGGAAAAGAAATCTCCAAAAGGTGATTAAAGGATAAAGAGGACCCAGACGGAAGGCACTCAGAACTAAGTCCAGAAAGCTCATGCTTGTAATCCTAGCTTCTCAGGAGGCTGAGGTCTGAGGTCCTGGTTGAAATCCAGCCTCAGCAGAAAAGTCTGCAAGACATTTTTCTGTATGCCATTCCTAGGGCTTGAACTCAGGGCCAGGACACTATCCCTGAACTATTTTGCTCAAGGCTAGTGATCTACCACTTTGAGCCACAGCTCCACTTCTGGCCTTCTTGGTAGTTTTAGTGGAAGTAAGAGTCTCCCAGCCTTTACTGCCCAAACTGGCTTCAAACAGAATCCTCAGATATACTCCTGAGTTGCTAGTATTATAGGCATGAGCCATCAGTGCCTGGCAAAAATAAGCATTTTTTAAAGTGTTTCTTAGAGCAAATATGGTTAGTTTTATTCCATGTCAATAATGAGTTGATAGTAATGTTTACATGTTTACTGAATTTTAATTCAGTATTTTTTTAACCTTTTTCAAAACAGCCTGGAAGAGTCGTGACTCTTGTTGAAGATCCTGGGGTATGATATAATTGTTCTTCTTTACATAGGATTTATTATTCAGGGCTTATTTTTTGTATTCAGTTTTAACCAATGAAATTTTTCTGTCAGTACTGCATCAGACAATTTGAACGGAAGTATGGCACTCTTTTCTGTACTTGTTATAGGGACTTTTATTTTGTTTTGTTTTTCATATTTGAGGGAAATGAAGCCAGAGGAAAAGTTAGAATGTAAAGTGCAAGGTAGCAATAAAGTACAACCAAATGACATGTAACATATACTATTTTTTTAATAGTGTAATCAGGATATTATCAAATTTATGACCGGTAGTCTCATTGTTGTGTTTTTTAAAATGTGTCTGTTAAGAATTAATGGAATAGGGCTGGGAAGGTGGCTCAGTGGTAGAGCGCTTGCCTTGCATGCCTGAGGCCCTGGTTTCAATTCCTCAGCACCACATAAGCAAAAAGAAAAAAGACAGAAGTGGCACTGTTGCTCAAGTGGTAGAGTGCTAGCCTTGAGCTGAAGAGCTGAGGGACAGCACCCAGAGTTCAGGCCCCACTACCGGACCCCCCCCCAAAAAAAAAAAAAAAAAGAATTAATGGAATAGCTCTCATATAGTCAAACTACCACCAAAACCCAAGTCAGTCCCTGAACGTTCTCTTCACATTAGCTAGGAATGTAATATTTTCGTTAACCAAAAACTAAATAATTCTTACTTTCCATATTGCCTGATGTTATATAAAGCACTTGTGTTTCTTCCACAATTTGGAGTTCCAGAACTCTTACTAAACTGACTTTTGTTCCTTAGACATTTTAATCATTTTTGTTCACACATAGATTTCAGTTGTTATATTGTAAAATTGAAGGTTTCTCTTTGGGAACAACTTTGTATAAAAATCAAGCAGTGCCAGAAACACTAGTGCCTCTGTGTTCTTGGTACTCTGAGGCAAGATTTGGATGGCAAGTTAGGGACTAGCCAGGCCAGCAAGACCCTGTCTCATTTAAAAAAAAAAAAAAATAGTAAAACAGATTATATTAATGTATTTTAAAGTGCTTTCAAGAATTTACACTACAAAAAAAAATCAATAGATAGAGGATTATTGGCTCAAGCGTATAATCCTAGCTACTCACGAGGCTGAGATCTGAGAGTCATGGTTGGAAGCCAGTCAGGGCCAAGAAAGTAAGTCCATGAGACTCATATCTCCAATAAATTACCAAAAAAGCTGAATGTGGAGTTGTGACTCAAGTGTCAGCCTTGAGCTCAAGTGCTAGCCTTGAGAAAAGCATCTTGACCCTGAGTTCAAGCCCCAGGCACAGCTATTTAAAAAAGAAAAAATGGACTCCAAACAGGTAACTCATAAATAGTACTTTGTCCCTACAGAATTTCTTTTCTTTTCTTTTTTTTTGTCCGTTGTGGGGCTTGAACTCTGTCTGGGCCTGGACTCTTCAGCTCAAGTAAGTGCTCTTCCACTTGAGGCACAGCACCACTTCCAGTTTTCTGAGTGACTTACTGGAGATAAGTGTCTCACAGACTTCCGTGCCCAGGCTGGCTTTGAACCTCGATCCTCAGATCTCAACCTCCTGAGTAGCTAGAATTACAGGCATGAGCCACCGGCGCCCAGCCTACAGGCTTTCTTAATACCAAATAAAAACCTAGTATCTTCATTTCAGTCTTTGTTGTTTGTGTGTATGGTTTTTTGTTTGTTTGTTGTTTGAGACAGGGTCTTACTATATAGGTAGCCAAAGCTGGTCTAGAATGGGCAATTTTCCTGCTTCTTCTTGCAAAGTGATATAATCACACCATTACTTTGGAAAGGGGTGGAGGGTTAACTTAAAAACTTGTTTAAAGATAAATAACATACTCTTGCTGTGATACAAATAGCTTATTCAAAATAAAGGCTTCCTTTATTGCTTAGTACAGTATGTACCTCTTCAATACATCTTAAGTGAGGCAGAACTTAAAATTGGCTTCTTTTTTTTTTTTTTTTTTTTATTCTGGTCGTGGGGCCTGAACTCTGGGCTTGGGGGCTGTCCCTCAGCTCTTCAGCTCAAGGCTAGCGCTCTACCACTTGAGCCACAGCGCCACTTCCGGCTTTTTTTCTTATGTGGTGCTGAGGAATCGAACCCAGGGCCTCATGCATGCAAGGCAAGCACTCTACCACTGAGCCAACTTCCCAGCCCCTTAAAATTGGCTTCTAAGACCACACATGTTATCTTAGGTCATAACATATCTTCACCTATTCTGACTAGCCTTGTAAACACTAAATAGTATATTCTTTTCATTTTTCAACAGGGTTGTGTATGGGGTGTTGCTTATAAACTGCCAGTAGGAAAAGAAGAAGAAGTAAAAACATACCTTGACTTCAGAGAGAAAGGAGGCTACAGAACCATAACAGTGATCTTTTATCCAAAAGATCCCACAACAAAACCATTCAGTGTGTTGCTATATATTGGAACATGTGATAATCCTAATTATCTTGGTCCTGCACCTCTTGAAGACATTGCTGAACAAATTTTTAATGCAGCTGGTCCAAGTGGAAGAAATACAGAATATCTTTTTGAACTTGCAAATTCTATTAGAAACCTTGTGCCAGAAGATGCAGATGAACATCTTTTCTCTTTGGAAAAATTAGTAAAGGAACGTTTAGAAGAAAAATAGAATCTTAATTACTTACAAAGACCTAGTCATTGATTTTTCCAAATTAGCAGAGCTTTTAGTCTTCAGAGAGTAACTTCACTGCATTATGGCAATGTGTTTTGGAAATGTGTTTACTACATGAAGATAATACTATTTTAAATAGTGTAGTCAGAATACCATCAAATTTACAGTTTAACTGCAAGTGTCCAGAAACATATACTCCGAAGACTGAAGAATACAGAAAGGAGAAATTCAAGTTTTAATAGCATAATGATTTCCTACCTATAAGATATTGAACACTTGCTCATTAGAAGTGAGTTCTTTAGAAATAGTCTCTATTCAGTTGTTTTTATCAGAGTAAAAATCCTATTGTTTCATCTCACAATACTATTTTAAAGTTGTAGAGAATTAAACCAAAGTCAATACATACAATAAAATTACACCTTCAATATATTCCTATAAAATCATTCTGTAACCATGACAAAATATATAAGCTTAAAATAATGTGTGAATCAAATACATGGTAATATAGATAAAATTTGAACCTCAATTGTGAATTTCTTTATTATTCAGGAATTAAATGAGACTCAAATTCAGGCCAAAAGAAATTGACTTTTAGCTGGGTAATCACACCGTTCTGGAGATGGAGAGAGGAGGATCTTGAGACCAGCCTGGAATACATAGCAATTCCCTGTCTCAAAAAAAATTTTTTTAATACACTTGCTTTTTGAATATAAGATTTTCCTTGAAAGTATAATGTGTTATACATCTCCTTTTTGAAAAAAATACACATTTTACTAGATAGAAAACAGTCTTTAAGCTAAAGAACTCATATTACTCATTATAAAAATCACATCCACTAATGATAATGTCACTCACTTTGTATTTCTATTATAGTGAAACTGAAAAAAAAGGCTTTCTGATAATTACAGATTAGTGGAAATGTACATAATAAACAGCTTTTGGATTTAAATTTGTTGAAGTAGCATCACTTGATTATTTACTGCACATTCTTCGTTGTTACCACTTGTCACCTAAATAAGAGTATCAACTGTTTATGCAGTTGCTAGTCAAGTAGGAAACTAATACATTATTAAACTCCAGTAGAAACAGCCTTGATTGACATTATAGCTGATTTCTTCAATTCATATTATTCATGTGTGGGTTTAATAATTCATTTTATTCATGTATGTTTTAACTTACAACTTCTCAAACCCACACATGAACAATAATTAGCAAAGAAAATTAAACTGCCCTACATAGTAGAAAAGTTGTATTTTCTTATTTGGTTATTTTGGCAAGTCCTGGGGCTTTAACTCAGAGCCTGGGCATTGTCCCTGAGCTTCTTTTGCTCAAAGCTAACAGGCTACTACTTGAGCCACAGTACCACTTACGGCTTTTTCGGTTTATGTGGTACTGAAGAATTGAACCCAGGGCTTCATGCATGGTAGGCAAGCACTCTGCCACTAAGCCACATTCCCAGTTCTTTTTTTCCTTTAAAAAAAAAAAAAAAGTTCCTTACTTAGTAATTTGCTCTGCTATGTAATTATTTTAAGTGTTTTCTAGAATTTTAAAGATTTAGTTTTCCAGGCAACATTTCACTTACTTAGGTCTTGGCATCTAAAGGTACCTATGTATATGATTCCAAGGGAAAAGATAGGGGACTGAAAATCAGGTATTGATAGCTTTTCTATTTTGTGAGTTTTTAATAAAAGGATATAAAATATTACCTCGAGTCAAATTGTTTCAGTGAAGAAATTTCAGCTATTCAACTTTATAAGAACTATAAATAAGCATGTAAAAACTTTTCTGGACAAGTCAGGCACCAGTGGCTCACACCTATAATCCTAGCTACTTAGGAGACTGAATTTGAGGATGAGGGTTCAAAGCCAGCCTGGGCAGACAAACTCAAGAGACTTATTCCCAAGTAACCACCAAAAAGCCAGACATGAAGCTATGACTCAACTAGTAGAGTACTAACCTTGAGCAAAATAAGGTCAGGGACAGTGCTCAGGCCCTGAACTCAAGACCCAGTAATGGCACAAATACTAATCTGGATGTCACCATTTGAATTTTTAAAAATAAATTTATTGACAGAAGGTAAATAATGTTTGTAGCATTTTCCTCATATGGCATATTCCACGTACTCACTGTACTTTTCTAAGTTGTCCTACTTTCAAGTACATGTGTTTAACTGTGTTCTGTGCTGTTTTTGTAAGTTTGCTACTAAAACTACAAAAAAACTTTTTCATGTTTTAGTCAAATACTTCTCACTTCTTTCTTGGCCTTAGGATTTCCTAGCTTAAACACCAAGATTATCCAATTACTACCCTAAATTTTCTTCTATTGCTTTGTACATTGAACCATTTAATCCATTTGGAATTAAGTCTTTATACACTTGAAAAATAGGCATCATCTCATATGATTCCAAGGCAAAAAGTCTACACCTTAAGAAATTCTGGCCAAATATATATCTAAAGTTTCCTACAAGTCTTCTGAACTGAACCTGTTCCTCTACTGACCACCAATCTCCTGCTTCATATTCCATCTTACCTGCCCTCTGAGTACACCAAAAAGCCCTAATAAACCATCTAAGGGTTGTGCTTCAAATCCATTTCCCCACACCTAACAAACTCCTGTAAGTCCTTACAACTACAGCTCTAATGTCACCTCTACTAGGAAGCCTTTTCTGCTGGACTGAAATTCCTCACTGTGTAATCACTAATACTTACCTCATAAGAATTCTTACCTAATACATTAAACACACTTAAAACTGGGCACCAGGGCTGGGAAGGTGGCTCATGCTTGCCTTGCATGCATGAAGCCCTGGATTCCATTCCTCAGCACCACATAAGCAGGAAAAAAAAAAAAAAAAAAGCCTGAAGTGGTACTATGGGTCTAGTGGTAGAGGTCTAGCCTTGAGCTGAAGAGCTCAGGGACAGCACCCAGGCCCAGAGTTCAGGCCCCACAACTGACCAAAAAAAAAAAGGGGGGGGGGGGCACCACACACCTGTAATCCTAGCTACTCAAGAGGCTGAGACCTGAGGATCAAAGTTCAAAGCCAGGTGGGGTAGGAAAATTCACAAGACTTTTATCTCCAATTAACCACCAAAAAGTTAGAAGTGGAGCTGTAGCTCAAGTGGTAGAGTGATAGCCTTGAGCAAAAACCAAAACTGAGGAACAGTGTCCAGGTTCTGAGTTCAAGTCCCAATACTGGCACAAACACACAAAAAAATCTATTAGTAACTAGCCTAAAACAAATGCTAAATAAGTTCTAATTGCTTTATCATTATTACTCAAGTTTAAAATTATCTGTGTAATTTCTTGCCAGACCATGAGAAACCAAGGAAAAACCCATTTACTTGCCATTTTACCAATCTCAATGGCTTGTCACATTCAACACCAACAGATGCTAAATATCACCAATAAATGCTGGGAGAGGTGGCACACACCTGTAATCACACAACGTGGGAGGATTTGTAAGATTTGAGGTCAGGTCAGATAAAAAGTGAAGTTAGTGAGACATCTATCTCAATGCTAAATGTAGAGTAATGTGTACCTATCATCCTAGCTACAAGGGCAGCCACAGATAGGAGGATCAGAACAGGGGATTAGGTACTATGCAGACTTGAGACCCTACCTGAAAGATACCTAATGCAAAAAATAAAACATAAAACAAGAACTGGAAGTGTGGCTCATTGGCAAAAGTGATGCTCTCCCCAGCACAAGTTAAAAATCCCAGTGCCACCAAAAAATAAAAATTAGCACTAATGCCTCAATTCTGATGCAAATTGGTTTTGACACTGTGACTTCATGTTAAGAGAAAAATATAGATGAAAATGGACTATTCTTTCCTTCAAATTTATGGAAAGGGAAGAGGAAAGGCAGGGATTTTTTTTTTTTGGGGGGGGGGGTTGTTTTGTTTTTTTGCCAGTGCTGGGGCTTGATCAGAGTCTGGGCACTGTCTCTGAGCTTCTTTTGCTCAAGGCTGGCACTCAACCACTTGGACCACAGCACCACTTCTGGCTTTTTCTGTTTATGTGGTGCTGAGGAATCGAACCTAGGGCTTCATGCATGCTAGGCAAGCACTCTACCACTGAGCCGCCTTCCTAGGCCAAGGCAGGGTTTGTGTTTTTGTTTTTCTTAATGTGGTACTGAGGTGTTGAACCCAAGGCTGCATGCAGGCCAGGGAATCACTCTATCATTAAGCCACACCCCCAGCTGGGAAGGCAGATTTTTAACAAATTTAACAAACTAGCTTCCCTCACCTCCCAGGAAAAGAACATTCTATGGTCAGGATTGCACAAACTGGAAATTAAAACAGTAGCTTTGTTGATTTTTTTTTTTTGGAGGGGGGGGAGGAGAGGGAGACAGAGCGCGCGAAGGAACCAAAACTTTTTGTCCGGTTTTGGGGATGCAATTTCAGTCATCACTCCACATTCGCTTAGCCCTGCCCCTTACATAAGAAGTTTCCAGCTTCCCTGTCATTCCCTGACATTCACACTCACACACACACACACACACAGAGGCACGCACGCACGCACACCCGCCCCCAACCCTTCAAGGCAGGCGCGGGAGTCTCCGTCCGGGACGACGCGGGAGGCCCTCGGGATTTCGGGGCCGGGGACCGCGGGTCCCTCGGCTTTCCCTCAGCCAGGGCAGCAGGACCAAGACGCCGCGAGAACGGGCAGCAGCCGGGGCGAGGAGACGCTTCGGAGCGGAGAGACGAAGTGCACGCGGGGCCGTCGGGAACGCGGCCACTTTCCGCACCGCCTGCGGCTTTCCCGAGGCCCCGGCCCGGCCCGGCTCGCCCCGGCCGCCGCCCACCCACCAGCGAGGCGCGCGAGCAGCGGCCCGCAGCGGCTGGCGCCACCGGAACTCACCGGCTTCGCCGTGCGGCCACTTCTCAGAGGGAAAAGCTGGTCCCCGGGTCCCCCAGATTAAGTCTCCCTCCGGCGTCGGGTGCCAGAAAAACGAGGCATCCGAGCCCACCTCAGACCTGAGGTAGTAGAGAACTACAGAAACGCGACCCGCCTCCCGGCTTCCGTAAGCGGGCTGCCCCGTGACCCCGGATGTTGATCTGCCGCCTGACCCCGGAAATACTGGCGGGGGACACCAGGCGGAGAGTGGGGGCGGAGGCGGCGTCGCCGGACTCTCCGGAAGGAGACGTGGCGGCGGTTGGGTCCCTCGCTCCCGGCACGCTTTGTAATCCCGCCGCCGCCGCCGCCTCCTCCGCCGCCGCCGCCGCCGCCTCCTCTTCCTCCTCCTCCACCTCTTCCTCCGCCCGATCTCTTTGAGCCGAGGAGGCTGTGGCGGCGGCCGGAGAAGGCGGCGGCGGAGGATGGCAGGAGGGGGCGGCGGCGCGCGGAGCCCGGGGGCCGGGCCGCTGGTGCTGGTGCTCTGCGGCCTCCTGGAGGCGGCCGGCGGCGGCCGAGCGCTGCCCCCGCTCAGCGACGACGTGCCCTTCCGCGTCAACTGGCCCGGCACCGACTTCTCTCTGGTCAGTGTCGCCGCGAACCCCGCCGCCATCCCTGCTACCCCCCGGGAACCGAGGGGTTCCTCCCGCCCCGTCCCCGGATCTCCTCCACAGGCGCGAGTTCCTTCTACCTCGCCTGCCTTCCTTTGCTCACGTATTCATTCATTCATTCGGCGCCATTAGGTGGTTGCGCCCTCAGTGCGAGGATCCAGCCGTCCCTCGCTCTCCCTTTCATAACGCTCGCTCTCCATCCTGGGCTGCGAGAAGCCTTAGGATCGCCTAGGCGCACCCCGGCTTATGCAGAACCGCCCGCCCTCTTCTTCCACCAGTAACCTTCCTTCTTCTGCATTACCCCCCACCTGGCCGCCCTGGCGTCCTGCAGCCTCAACTCACCACCACCACACACACACACACACCTCTGCATCCTTTGCTCTCTCGCATCCACTGACAAGTCACAAACTTTTGCAACAGCCCCTGGGGAATCTCTTCACTTCAAAATTGGCCCTACACCCTCCACCCCTCCCCAGGATTTGTCTGGCCTGGGAGATGTTTTAACGACCTTCTATGTGGAAGACCTTTTTCTTTATGTTTTGGTGGACCAAGATCTATTTAAGATCCCAGAACATGAGAGTTGGTTTGTTAATGACGAATTTTCATGCAGTGACGAATGTATTTATAACCTCATGGAAATGAGAATTTTGTGGGGTGGGGGTGGACTGCAGCAAAGTCTTCCTATCCACCTTTAGCTGTTGCCAGCCAGTAGAAATTGTGCTCTTATATAATAACCTATGGTAGTTCGTGTATTTCACATTGAATTCTTGAAAAACAAAACAGGCTTTCGTCATTCTTACTATCTGTGATCATTCAAGTTGGGAGAGAATTGTTAATTGCTCTGTTACTGTTTCATTGGGATATTAATAGATGGCACTGTGACAACAAGACACTATCAAGTTGGAGGATGAGGAATGTAGGTAAGAGGTAGAGTGCCTGCCTATCATATATAAGGTCCTGGGTTCAATCTCTCTCTCACACACACAGGTTACATTACACTTGTAGCATATCTTTTTCTCTTTTATCAGCTCCTCAAATCACAAGTTTAGAATTAAGAGCATAAGTAAATGTTATCATTACTTTAAGCAGCAATAACTTTAGGAGGCAAAGATTATTTTGAAAGGTTTACATTCATGTGGCTTAGTTAAAAGAACTCTTGATTCTAATTCCATACTCTTTCTAAAATGAATCTGACCAATTCAGAGATTGGGTTAAAAAGTTACATCATGCTCTGACAATTACAAGGAGATTTGAAATGAGTGCTATTTCAGAACTGTATCCTGAAGTACCTCCTTTTACAGTTTCCACTGACAAAAATAGTTCCCTGGGCTCTGTGGTTAGCACTGATACTATCTGGTCCACTTAACTACTCTAATGTTCTGTTTGCAAATGGTAGTTTTAGCTACTATAGTATTTCATACTTAGTTTATTTCCCCCACTGTTTTCCCTTGATTGTTCACTAATTCTCGAACTTAGGTATTTCTCTGGAAAAATGAGGCTTATCTCTGTATTAATGCCATGAAATACTGTCATTCTGTATTAAAATACCTATGTAAATTTTTTTTATAAATTAGATAAAGCTTTAGGAGTCGTAAGGTGAGGATACTTTAGGCCAGGCTTCGTTGTTAGTTGTAAAGAGCAAACTTGGAATGATCATGGTAAATGTTTACTGTATGTGGTTATTGAAATCTGTTTACTCTTGCACCTGTGTTTTAGAAGCATGTTTAAAGCTGGGTGCCAGTGGCTCACACCTGTAATCCTAACTACTCTGGAGACTGAGATCTGAGGATCATGGTTCAAAGCCAGCCCAGGCAAGAAAGGCCGTGAAACTCTTATCTCCAATAAACCACCAAAAAACTGGAAGTGGCCCTGTGGGTCAAGTGGTAGAGCACTTGCTGAAGAGCTGAGGGACAGCACCCAGGCCCAGCCACAACCAACAACAACAAAAACCATGTTTAAATGTATTTCTCAATGTATGCACCTAGAAGTACAACCTATGTGGTTACTCCCAGATGATCATTTGACCTTCTTTCTAGCACTTGCATTATTAGCTAAAAAGAGACCCTAGGAAAAAAATTCCAGTCCTAATGTATTTTACATTAATGTTTCATGTTTATCAATATTATTTTGAATTTTAATTTTTAAATACTTTTTATTGGCAAGGCAACAAAATCCAAGATGGACATATTTGAAGACTTTGTCCACTTTAGATTTTGTTAAGAAGTTCTTTTTAAGTCTGAGTTATTTTGGAAAAAACTAAACATTTTTAAGTGAAATGGCAAATAGACTATGCCCTTGTACTAAGTAAGTTCTAAGAAAACAAAATTGGTATTTTGAAAGAAGTGCCTCTTTACTGCTTTATTTAACTGAAAAAAATACACACTCCTCCCCTGGCACTGCCATTTTTTAATGTAGTCAGCTGGACATTTGCATTTAATAAAGGAGCTACATGAACTAACATAAGATCCTTTTTCTAAATTGGAAGACACAGGATTAGCAAATGGGAATTTTTTTTCCTAAAGCTTTAAAACTTCTGCTTTAAATCATCTTCCCATTCAGATACATCAAACCAACACAGGCTCTTTTACAGATAACAAAAAGCTGGAAGTGGAGGTATGGTTCAAGTGGTAGAGCACCTACTGGGAGCAGAAAAGTATGAGTGAGAGTGTGAAGACCTGAGTTCAAATCCTAGAACCAGCTTTCTGTTCTATACATAGAGTTGAGGGGTGTGTGTGTGTGTGTGTGTGTGTGTGTGTGTGTGTGTGTGTGTTATATAAACCATATATGTTTTTGTTCTATTTCCAGCCCACAACCGGAGTTTTATATAAAGAAGATAATTATGTCATCATGACAACTGCACATAAGGAAAAATATAAATGCATACTTCCCCTTGTGACAAGTGGGGATGAGGTACGTTTTCATAAATATTTTGATAATCTCTGTCATCAAAGATAAGTGTTTTAAAGCATTGCAACCATATACTTTAAGTGACAATTTGCTGGGTCCCAGTGAGTGGCTCACACCTATAATCCTAGCTGCTTACAAGGCTGAGATCTGAGGATCATCGTTCAAAGTTAGCTGAGGCAGGAACACCCGTGAGACTCTTATCTCTAATTAACCCCCAGAAAACCGGAAGTGGCATTGTGGCTCAAGTAGTAGAGTGCTTGCCTTGAGCTAAAGAACTCTGGTACAGTGCCCAGGCCCAGAGTTCAAGCCCCATGACCAACAACAAAAAAAGAAAACTAAGTGACAAGATTCCTAACAGGCACTGGGAAGGTGGCTCAGTGGTAGAGCACTTGTCTTGCATGCGCAAGCGCCTCGGGTCCATTCCTCAGCACCACATAAACAGAAAAGGCTAGCGGTACTGTGACTCAAGCAGTAGAGCGCTAGCCTTGAGCTGAAGAGCTCAGGGATAGCGCCCAGGCCCAGACTTCAGGCTCCACAACCAACAAACTTTCAGTAGAAAAATATTAATCGTTTTTATCACTTCTGAATTTCTTTAATTTGTAATTCAATTTGGAAAAAAATAGCAACCAGTTATTGATGCAGTGAAAATCTATCTACAATTATTTTAGGGCTAGGAATGTGGCTTAGTGGTAGAATATTTGCTTAGCATGCATAAAGCCCTGGGTTCAATTCTTCAGTACCACATAAACAGAAAAAGCCAGAAGTGACACTGTGGCTCAAATGGTAGAGTGCTACCTTCAGCAAAAAGAAGCTCAGGAACAGTGCCCAGGCCCTGAGTTCAAGCCCCAGGACTAGCAAAAATAATCTCTAGATACTTTATGCTTTCTCACTACATTAGCTCATACATGTAAAGTCCACCCTGGGAAGGGGGAGCAGACTACTTCCTCTTGGTTAAGTCTCTGCCCAGTACCTATGTCACCTAGGTAACTGACACACTTGGAGGCAGTCACCCCACCCCTCCCGGAGGTCACATCCGGTTCTGATGTGGCCACACCTTCTTCCACCCCTGGCCTTGATAAGTGGTGGCCCAGCTATGGTTCAACCCTTTTTATTCCTGCGTAGGCTTCCAACTTGTCCAGAGGCAGCTTGCAAATAAACCTTTCCTTTGCCTGAATACCACGTGCTGCTCTCTTTCCTTGGCTGCCAATTTAATTTACCTAACAACACATTCCCTTTTCGTCTAAAATCTCTAACTCCCTCTTATCCATCCTTCAAGGGCATGGCATCTTTCAAGATGAAAGGAGAGGCAACATGATATAATGGAAAGGAAATCAGCATAAGCCAGAAGGCTTGAGGTATAGGCTACAGTTAGCTGTGAGTCCTTGGACAAATTTGAAACTCAGTTCCTCTACTCAGTAAACTTAAAAGCCAATTAATATTGTTATGATCTGTAAAATATAACTATTAAATTCATGTGCTTGCTTAAGTCTTTTTCAGATTTGAAATCTACACAAGACAGCTATTTAATTTTGCTCCAAATTTCCTTAAGACACTAATGCCCATACATACCCACATGTACACACATGCGCACATGGCATTCAAGCCTGAAATGTAGAAATATGGACTATGTAGAAATATGTAGAAGTCTGAAATAAAGAAATATGAAGCCAGGCACCAGTGGCTCATGCCTGTAATCCTAGCTACTTAGGAGGCTGAGATCTAAGAATTGCAGTTCAAAGCCAGTCCAGGCAGAAAAGGCTGTGAGACTCTTGTCTCCATTTAACCACCAGAAAACCAGAAGTGGTACTGTGGCTCAAGTAGTAGAGTACTTGCCTTGAGCTGAAGAGCTCAAGGACAGTGCCCAGGCCCAGAGTTCAAGCCCACAACTGACAAAAAAAAAAAAAAAAAACAGAAGAAGAAGAAAGAAAAAGAAACATGAAATGTGTAGAAACTGAAAAGTATCTTAAAACTACATTTCCAGTATATTCCACAAGATTCAACCATTCTAACACTTTCATAGCCAGAATTTGCTTGGGTACAGGCATAAAAAATTGTTCAGAAAAGTGGTATTTAAAACCTTTTGAAAGAAGTAAGAATGAATGAGATGGCAGATTATTCCATGGCTCCATATTTTTCTGCTTTGGTTCATTTGAAAGAAGTATCATACCATTGGTTCTTTTAAGGTTTTGACTTTTATTTCCAGGCATTTGTGGTTTAGCCAATAAATTAATACCCAAGCAGCAGAGTTGGGTAAAGTTCTAGAAAATGTATTAAATGCCAGTTCTTTCTTAGGAAGAAGAAAAAGACTACAAAGGCCCTAATCCAAGAGAGCTTTTGGAACCACTATTCAAACAAAGCAGTTGCTCCTACAGAGTATGTACTTATATTATTTTGATAAATAGGAAATAAATTTTCAGCAGCCAAAAGAACCTTGAAATTACTTACGCATTTCATCATTACTATGTCATGTCAGACTTTATGTTAGGAGTAAATCTAAGTTATTGTCTCATAATATATTGTTCACATATATGTTGAAGGATTTTGCCAGTAAAAACATTTAAACATTTTAAATTTAAAAATCTTGTGATTTCTTTGGGGTATTTAAGAAATTGTCACTAAGCCTATTCATTAAGCTCTTGTGACCTTTGGGGAGTTTTTATTTTCATTGAAGTGCCATGGACTATTTGTAAAACAATTGATTATAACTTTGTTGGTTATAAATTTAAGATTTAGCATTGTGGTCTTATTTGTAAACTTGCAATTGCTGTTTTTGCAAGAGCAAATGTATTTCTTTATAAACTAAGGTACACCCAGGCACTGGTAGCTCACGCCTACAATCCTGGCTACTCAGTAGGCTGAGTAGTTCAAAGCCAGCCTAGGCAGGAAAGTCTATGCAACTTATCTCGAATAAACCACTAGAAAACGAGAAGTGATACTGTGGCTCAAGTTTGAGCTGAAGAGCTAAGGGACAGCACCCAGGCCCAGAGTTCAAACCCCACACCCGACAAAAAAATAAATAAAGTACAATAATAATGACTATACCAAAAAAAATTGTGTGTATATATACTGATCATTTAAATTCCAGAATATGCAGCACTCAATAATACCAGTATCAGATCATCACTTGCCAGACTACTTTGAATTTGTGTGCTTGTGTGTGTGCATGTGTGTATGCGAGCACACATGCTGCTCCTGGACTTGAACTCAGGGCCTGGGTTCTGTCCCTGAGCTTCTTTGCTTAAGGCTAGTACTCTACTACTTGAGCCACAGCTTTACTTCCAGCTTTTTTTGGTGCTTAATTGAAGAGAAGAGTCTCACAGACTTTCCTGCCTGGGCTGGCTTTGAACTGAGATCCTCAGATCTCAGCCTCCTGAATAGCTAGGATTACAGACATAATATACCAGCACCCAGCTTGGACTTTTTTTCAGTTTCAAAGAAAAGTTTCTTGCATTTTACAATTTTAATTTAAAATGCTAATTATTATTTTAGACCATGTAGATATTACGTATAGTGATTATAGACCCTAGAATATTTCTAGATCTGTTTTCTTCCATAATTCTCACAGATAGCTAACTAATGAAAACAATGGACTTCAGAAGTTGCAGCAACTTGTGAGGTAATAAAAGATATTGCTTAGTGAAAGCTTACTGTAAATTTTGGGGAAAATCTACTCACCTAAGTAAAAGATTAAAAAAATTATTAATAAATTCAAAAAAATTTAAATTAACTGAATTGTGTGGCTTTAATATATTTAAATTTGCTCATCTTTCTTAGATTGAGTCTTACTGGACTTATGAAGTATGTCATGGAAAACACATCCGACAGTACCATGAAGAGAAAGAAACTGGTCAGGTATGTTTTTCTTAAGAATATAGCATGTAGAACACTATAAAATGAGAAGCTTCATAATAAAAAGTATGAAAGCTTGCTTAAAGTTGTAGCCTTACAATGTTCTTGCAAATTACTTACCATATTTCTTTTTAATATAGAAAATAAATATTCATGAGTACTACCTTGGGAATATGTTGGCTAAGAACCTTCTATCTGAAAAAGGTTAGTCTCTACACAGTAATTTTATAATGATGTTGGAATTTGGTTTCACACATATTCAAATTGAAATTTAAGAAATTTTCTTGGCAATGGAATTTTAAAACAAAAAATAATTTACTTAGCTGTTACTTAGGAAACATTTTTGAAAGAAATTTTGGTTTTCATTATTTCCTGCTTTGACAAACAAGCCTTTTTTTCCTACTTCCAATGAAGTTTTATAAATTTGTTATGATATTTATGTTATTTTTTTTTTTTTTTTTTTTTTTTTTTGTCGGTCGTGGGGCTTGAACTCTGGGCCTGGGCGCTGTCCCTCAGCTCTTCAGCTCAAGGCGAGCGCTCTACCACTTGAGCTACAGCGCCACTTCCGGTTTTCTGGTGGTTTATTGGAGATAGGAGTCTCACGGTCTCTCCTGCCCGGGCTGGCTTTGAACCGCGATTCTCAGATCTCAGCCTCCTGAGTAGCTAGGATTACAGGCGTGAGCCACCAGCGCCTGGCTTTATGTTATTTTTATATGTTAGTTTTAGCATAGTTTTTATGTATGGAAATAGATGTACAACTCAAGTTTTTGTTGACCTAAATTACCCAAAATGGCCAGTTATTTAAGATGTAATTTTTCATGAAGATATTTCAAAAGAAAAGTCTTGTGAACAGTTTTCTTAATGAAGTAGAGTAATTTCTGCATAAAGATGTAAAGATTAAACTTGGCACTGGTGGCTTATGCCCATAATCATAGTTACTCAGGAGGCTGAGATCTGAGGATGTCAGCTCAGAGCCAGCTGAGGCAGGAAAGTTTATGAGACACTATCTCCAATTAACCAGCAAACAAAAGCCACAATGAAACTGTGGTCCAAGTAATAGAGAGCCAGTGGTGAATGAAAAAGCTAAGACAAAGTAGGAGGCCCTGAGGTCAAGCCCTAGTATTAGCATACACACACATACACATACACACACACACACACACACACACACACACACACACACACACACACACACACACACACACACACACACACACCCCTACAAAATCATTTCAAGGAAACTAAAGTTAGGAAACAGAGCTGGGGATGTAGGTAAGAGTGCTTACCTAGCATATGTGAGGCCCTAGTTTCAATCTACAGCATTGCTGTCCCCTGCGCGCGCGCGCGCTTGCGCGCGCGCGCACGCACACACACACACACACACACACACAGAGTTACTAAGACAAAAACTACATTGTGTTTTGGATATTAGAAGTTTAAGGTTGCAAGGTTGGTTGAAAGTTAATTATTTCTATCTTATTCATGTCATTACTCATTCTTTACATATACCTTTTTCTCATATTCTACAGAACAAGAAGCAGAAGAAAAGGAAAAATCAAATGAGGCAAGTGACAGGTGTAAATTTTTTTCACTCTTAACATTTTGTTCTTAGTAAACTGAATTTATAGGATTTGGTCAAAGATTTACAAATTTGCAATATATTTGGTTTTTCTATGAAAAATTACATTGTGTTTCTTCTATTAGCATTAAGAATCACATCTAAAAAAATTAAATATCAATTATGTATTGATTCTAATTATGTCATGTTAGTACTTAGCAGTGGAAACAATTATAATAAGAGCTTTTATATTTTTTTCCCATTTCTTCTTATCTCTTATGAATAAGATAGAAAAACTGTATTTGTAAATAAGCTTCCAGACTTCATGTGTCTTAGAAGTAAGGACTACTATATTTTATCTCTCCACCCCACAGTGCAAAGTAGAGTACCATACATACTATGGACACTTCTTAAACATTTATTAAATGATGAGTGTTTGAAAACAGTGATTCCTCAAGATATGTAATCACAATTTGGAAATACCCATATAGCTCAACATGCTTTTGCATCCTCAGAATTTCCAAATTTATATAACTTTAGATGGAGGATATTTCTTTTTTTTTTTTTTTTGTCGGTCGTGGGGCTTGAACTCTGGGCATGGGCGCTGTCCCTCAGCTCTTCAGCTCAAGGCGAGCGCTCTACCACTTGAGCTACAGCGCCACTTCCGGTTTTCTGGTGGTTTATTGGAGATAGGAGTCTCACGGTCTCTCTTGCCCGGGCTGGCTTTGAACCGCGATCCTCAGATCTCACCCTCCTGAGTAGCTAGGATTACAGGCGTGAGCCACCAGCGCCCAGCTGGATGGAGGATATTTCTATAAAGGACTTAATGTCATAATGATGCTTTTAGTAAAAATAAAAATGAAACAGCAAATGAGCCAGGTGCCAGTGGCTCACACGTGTAATCCTAGCTACTCTGAAGACTGAGATCTGAGGATAGCGGTTCAAAGCTAGCCCAGGAAGGAAAGTCTGTGAAACTCTTATCTCCAATAAACCACCAGAAAACCAGAAGTGGTGCAGTGGCTCAAGTGGTAGAGCACTAGCCTTGAGCTGTAGAGCTGAGGGACAGCGCTCAGGCCCAGAGTTCAAGCCTCACAACTGACAAAAAAAAAGATGATGGTTTTGGTAGATGGTGGTTGTGGTAGTTTGAGGAGCAGTTGATGAACTAAGTATAGACACACAGCATTGAAGATTTTAATTTTACAAACTACCTTCAAGATAAAATATTTACCATGACTGACAGATAGCAAAATGGGAATCAAAGTATGAAATGAGGACTGAGATATGGCTTAAGGGATAGAGCACTTGTAAGGCCCTGAGTCCAATCCTCAGTACTGAAAAAATTAAAAGTGTGAAATGATAAAGGAAGAAGAAGAAAAGGATAAGGGAAGTAAACTAACATTAAGACCTAATTATAAGCCAGGCATGTAACGAAAGCTAATGCTTAATTTTCCCAACAAGCTTTGAGTATTTTATTATTTTACTTTTACAAATGACCGACACTGAATCAAAGTCATAAAGCTACAAAATTTGAAATTTGGAATCCAAGTTATTCTAATTTTCAATAGTATCAAATAGCATACAAGGAAATCTCAAAATATTTTTTCCAGGAATATTCATTTATTGCTTCGTTTTGGATATGGCACTGACAGGGATCTCATCTTTAATGAGAGCTTGCAGTGAGATATTATTAACTCCTTAATGAATCCTTCACCCCTCTGACATATATCTATTATTCTCCATTCCATGAAAATGTCTTAATTTGCCCTTTGTTAGACTTGAATAAATTTATGTAGACGTTTATATGCTGAAAAGTATATGTTGCTAATGTCAGAGAAGAATACTTAGATATGCGAGTACTGGTTTAGATTCCTATTTAGAGGATAGAGTTCTACCATCTAGCCCTACTTTTTGACAAATTAACCTGTGGACTTCTGGAACCTAAATTCTTTTAAACAGCCAATTGAGAATTTAGTGATGACAGTTCAAAGCAGCTGATATACTAAGTTCTTGTATCTTCAGTGTATTGACAATATCTAATGTTAATCCTGATCTTTTAACCCTTTTGTAAAAATATACATGATTTAATAATTTAATTTTAGCATCAAATAATAATATTCTTTTTTACTGATTTAAACTTACAAATACAAATTACTCAAGTCATTAGTGTGGACTTAAAGAAATACAGAAATGTTACTTTTCTGTTTATAAATAAAATGTAGCTTTCTTCCTTCCAGAATAAGAGCTTCCCCATCTCCAACCCACCTCAGTTTCTAATGAAAAGTATTATACTTTTTTTTTTTTTAAAGATTCCCACTAAAAATATCGAAGGTCAGATGACACCCTACTATCCTGTGGGAATGGGAAATGGTACACCTTGTAGTTTGAAACAGAACCGGCCCAGATCAAGTACTGTGATGTACATATGTCATCCTGAATCTAAGCATGAAATTCTTTCAGTAGCTGAAGTTACAACTTGTGAATATGAAGTTGTCATTTTGACACCACTCTTGTGCAATCATCCTAAATATAGGTAGGATGTGCATTTAATATCTTAAACATACAATGCACACATGCTTTGTAGTGTTCTGATGCTTAATTTAATGCTTTGTTCTTACTAAATAGGTTCAGAGCATCTCCTGTAAATGACATATTTTGCCAATCACTGCCAGGATCTCCATTTAAACCTCTCACACTGAGACAGTTGGAGCAACAGGAAGAAATACTAAGGGTTCCTTTTAGGAGAAGTAAAGAGGTAAGAGGATTATCTAATGACAATTCCTTAGTGCTACATTTTTCAGTTTTTAGAATATATGTCAACATTTTGATATTTGCAGTAGTTTTCCTCTTTTTTTTTTCTTTTTTTTTCTTTTTTTTTTTTTTGGCATTACTGGAGTTTGAACTCAAGACTTCACACTTGCTAGGCAGTACTTCACTGATGAGCCACAACTCCAGCCCTTTTTTGCAATGGTTATTTTTGAGATAGATAGCATCTTGCTTCTTAACTGAGCATGAAACTGGCTTCTCATTATAGTTACGTGCCCAGCTTGTTCTGTCGAGACAGAGTCTTGAAGACTTCTCTGCCCAGAACTAGCCTGGGACCATGATCCTCCAATCTCAGCCTTCCACAAAGCTAGGATGACAGACATACAGCACCATGCCCAGCTTATGGGAAGGGAGTCTCAAACCTCTGCCTGGGCTGACCATGAACCACAATCCTCCCATTCTCACCTTCCCAACAAGCTAGATTATAGGCCTGAACCACTGGCACCTGTCAACAGTTGGCCCCAATTTTTTTAAGTCCAATTCTTTTCATGATTTCAGTTCTTACACTTTTCGAACGCTGTTTTGGAATCCTCCAATAATCATAGTTCTATATTGAAGTTAATCTGATTTTTGAAGTAGATTAATCTAATTTTTGTTCCAGCTAAGCCTCTTGAGGAAATAGACAGCAGCCCTATCTCCACTTTCTAACACTTTATTTTTCAGTTCATTGCTGTCCTTTAGCATGTTCTGTAGTGTCTTCCTGTTCATCTTCCTGTTGAGCTTAGCATTATGTATTTTCAGTCATCTTACACTCATTTTCTCTACTTCATGCTGACTTTCTATCTTCTCCAATGCTTTTAAAACATTATGCTCTAATCAGTTAACCAGCAGAAACCTAAGTCATTTTTTTACCTACCTCTTCATTTGCTTCTCACTCTGATCACATAGTAAGAGCCATCAGTGTTATAGATGCCTTTCAGATCTACCCTGCCAACAGATGAGGACTTCATTATATCCTAGGGCCAGAAACTGGTCTCCTCAGAAATCTATTGCTGACCTTTCTACAGAGTTAATGAAATGATGTTTCTAAAATGAGTATTTGACATTGGATTGCCTGGAACATGCCTTTAAATCTTAGCTACTCAGAGAGCTGAGAACTAGAGGATCAGGGTTCAAAGCCCAGCCCTGACAGACATTTCCAAGAGACTTCATTTCCAATTAACCAACAAGAAAGCTGAGCAAGCACCAGGCCCTGAGCTCAAGCTACAGTATTGGCAATAAAATAAAATGGACATTTGATTATATATTGGATTCTTTGGTGATTAACATGATCTATGCCTCCAAATAAAATCATTGCTTATGAAATATAAGCATTTTTGTGATTGGGCTTCATCTTCATTTCCCTCCCTTTATGCCAGCTGGGTCTTCTTTTCTTTTGGTGCTGGTACTAAGGCTTGAACTCAGGGCCTTGGTCCTATCCCTTTTCCACTCAAGGCTGGTGCTCTACCACTTGAGCCAAGCTCTATTTCTAGCTTTTTGCTGTCAATTGGAACTAAGAGTCTTCTGGATTTTCCCTGGTCCAGCTGGGTTCAAACCATAGCTGAGTTCAAACCACAGTCTAGATGTCAGCCTCCTGAGTAGCTAGGATTACAGGCATGAGGCACAGGCACCTGGCTCATCCCAGCTGTTTTGAGCAACTTAAGAGTTTTCTAAAAGAACCATGTTTTTTCTGGCTTCCTTGCTTTTCTTCTTTTTCCTTGTCCTTGCCTCCCTCTTTGTAACTTCCTATGTTAGAAGACATGTTACTGTCAGTTAATTTAGAAATTAGACAAGATTTCTAAACAGGATTTCTGTCATCTAAGAAGAGATCAATGTTTCACTTCTATGGCTTTGTATTTTATTTAATCCCTTAAGCATATAAGTAGATATGTAAAAAGTCACAAAGTAGCCAGGCACTGATGGCTCATGCCTGTAATCCTAGCTACTCAGGAAGCTGAGATCTGAGGATTGCAGTTCAAAGCCAGCCTAGGCAGGAAAATCCATGAGACTCTTATCTCCAACCAGCCACCAGAAAACGAAGTGGCGCTGTGCCTCAAGTGGTAGAGTGCTCACCTTGAGCTGAAGAGCTCAAGGACAGCACCTAGGCCCAGAGTTCAAGCCCCATGAAGACAAAAAAAAAAGTCACAAATTATTAATCATATTTCAAAATTGATCAAATGTTTTCTCTTTTGTGGAGTCTTCATATTACAGTTCTTGGTAAAAGTCAGTTAAAATCAGCTGGGCATCAGTGGCTTATGCCAGAAATACTAGATACTCAGAAAACTGAAATTCGAGCATCACAGTTAAGAAGCCAGCTGAGGCAAGAAAGTCTGTGAGACTCTTATCTCCAAGTAATCACCAGAAAGCTGAAAGTGGAGTTGTGACTCAAGTGGTAGAGCACTAGCCTTGAGCACAAAAGCACAGGGCGAGTAGCCAGGCCCTGATTTCAACCTGCCCAGTATACATGCACACACATACACACACACAAAGGGTTAAAGCCACCCCTTCCAGCCCCCCCTGTACATCCCCTTTATAATAACAATTTAAAACAAAAACCCCTTCCTCTGTGAGTTTTCTGTGCTTTCACTCTTACTTGTGTCTTCCTTACTAAATTACAGGTTCCTTTCCCTCAGACAACAAACAAGGTCTGCTCCATTTGAATAATTATAATTCATATTCATTCCCCCACCCACTCTCCTTTACTCCAGTTGTTATCTTTTATCTCTTATTAGCCTAAATGGAAGGGACATAAAGTATTAACAAGTATCCAAGTACCAACAAGAGTAACGAGACAAAATATGGATGGAACTTGTCTTTATGTGTTCAGAATGGTTGTGAGACTCCTAACTGGTAGATTAAGCTAGCATTTGTTTTGAGCATTCTACATACTGTTAAGTATCACAAATTCCATTTCCTTAAAACACATTCTATTAAGTGAAAAACTTATTTTCCAGGTTTTCTGTATCTTAAAAATAATAGATTAAGCTAAGCACCATGGCTCACTCCTATAATCCTAGCTTCTCAGGTGACAAAGATAGGAAGGCTTATGGCTTGGAGCCAGCCCAGGCAAAAAGTTCATGAGACTATAGTTTAATCAGTAAAGGCAGGCAAGATGGTTTGCCCCTGTCATCTTAGCTACAAAAGAAGTATAACTAGGAGGATTTTGGTCTGGGCTCGCCTGTGTATAAATGAGAGACCATATTCAAAACATATCTAAAGCAAAAAGGGGCTTGGGCAAATGGCTCAAGTTGTAGAGCACCTGCTAATAATAACTGAAGCCATAATTGAAAAAAAATTATGACATAGGGAACTTACAAATGTGTTTGCTTATTTTTAGGAAGATTTGCAGTCAACTAAAGAAGAAAGATTTCCAGCAATCCACAAAACTATTACTATTGGCTCCCAGCCAATGTTCACTGTTGGAACAACCCATATATCCAAGCTAACAGATGATCAACTTATAAAAGAGTTCCTTAGTGGTTCTTACTGCTTTCACGGGGTAAGAAGTGAACCTTCGCTTTAATTATTTGTCTTCAATTTTTACTTTGCAGTTATTTTATCAGACGTATTAGTACTCTAAAAAGGTTTGCGTCTATAGTGAAATGACAGGATCTTGTCATTACTAGTAGTCATTTCTCTCTATAATCAAATATATCTACATCTCCATAATTTACTCCATAGCCCTTAAAGTCTCTTACTCCCAAGGGAAAACTTAACCTTTCATGCAGCAAGCATGTATGATTCTGGCTGATTGATAGAATCAGCATCAATGATTATATTTCCCACATTTTGTTTAGATAGTAATCACAGTTGAAACTAGATTTAACATCTACAAAGTAAAAGTGGGATTTTTGTCTTGTTTTATTCATTTTTTATGTGTGCCAATTCTGAGGCCTGCAGTAAGGGCTGGCTACTTCCTGGAACTTTTTTTACTCAAGGCTCTACCACTTGAGTCACAGCTCCACTTCTAGCTTTTTGGTAGCTAATTAGAGATAAGAGTCTCACAGACTTTTCTGCCAGGTGGCTTTGAACTGCACTCCTCAGATTTCAGCCTCCTGAGTAGCTACCATTACCAATGTTACCATTGCTACCCAGCTCTTACTTATTTTACTTATTCTTTTTTTATTAAATATCTCAGTGATGTTTAATTTTCAACCATATCATTGCTATTATGTTTATATGTTCATCAGTATCATTTGACAATATTGTCAGTCCTCGTTCCCTTTCTCAGTACATAACTTTTAACGTGTTTTCTTTCCTTCAGGGTGTTGGCTGGTGGAAATATGAATTCTGCTATGGCAAACATGTACATCAGTACCATGAGGTATAGACATTTTTATATTATTTTACTATTGGATGGGTTAGTTTATTGCTTATTGGTTTGATTATTGTCTGTCTATTGTACTGGACCTCCAGCCCAGGTACTAGGCAAGTGCTTTGATACAAGCTCAGCTCTGCATTAAAAGTTTTAAAATAGTTTATGGAATAAAGGAAGGAAATTGATACTACTTATTAGGTGATTTTAATATGGAAATAGCAAATCATCTTTAAACTTTGAAAATTAGAAACCCTAACGTTAAACCCACATTGCTTGTTGGCTACTCAAATTCTTGGCATAAGCCTAGTAGAATAATAGGTTATTGTGTCTGTTCCCCTCTAACATTAATCAAGAAGTTTGTTATTCTTTTTTTTTTCTTTTTATCATCTCTGGGCCTGGGCACAGTCCCTCAGCTCTTCAGCTCAAGGCTAGTACTCTACCACTTGAGCCACAGCACCACTTCCAGCTTTTTCTGTGTGTGGTGTTGAGGAGTCGAACCCAGGGCCTTATGCAAGCACTCTAGCACTGAGCCACCTTCCCAGCCTAAGAAGTTAGCTATAAAACTCACTTTAAATTAAGATTATACATTAATGATAATATTAATAAAAGTGAGTTGAATATAGCAAAATAATTTTTAAGACTGCACACACAGACTTTTTATTTTTATTTATAATTTTTTTAAATAAATGGCACATTTTCCCACATTAGTCATCTTGTTTACAGGCTATATTTGTCATAGTTGTACTTGTTTGGAAAGATAAACTTCTAAAAATTGAAGACAAATTTGATAAAGATTGACTTGACTACTTCAAATGGCTCTTTTCATTCCTAATACAAGTAATAAGTAATAATTAGGAAATACTATACTTGCCCACACAAAATGTTTTTGTTTTGGTTTTCAATAATGAAATTCAAACTCAGGATCTCATTCTTGGTAGGTAGGGGCTTTACCACTTGAGACACACAGCCCATAAAATGCTCTAAACTAATCTAAATTCAAAGATAGGCCGTGCTAAGTATTGTTTCCATTTGTTTTACTGCTTTGCAATTTTGAAGTTATTTTGTTCTACCATTTTGTTTTGGTTTTGGGAAACATTATCACTGTGTAGCTTAGGCTGGCCTTGGCCTCATGATCCTGCCTGCCATACCTCCTAAGTACTAAGATTATTATAATTATGCTTTCTTTTTTCAATTTTTTTATTGTAAAGATACTGTACAGAGGGGTTACAGTTACATGAGTAAGGTACATTTCCTGTCGAGCATTGTTACCCCCTCCTTTGTTTTTCCCCTACCATCCCCTCCTTCCCTATCTTCCCAACTCCTCCCTCCCCTCCCAAGTTGTAAAGTTCATTTTCAACATAGTGTCTTATACATCTCATTGTTACAATGGGTCAACCTGTATCCTTGTTTCTGCATTTTGTTATACCCTTCCCCTCCCCAAACTAGAAAAATGTATATACAAGATACAGGGCAACCAGAATCAAATACAGTAAAAATGGGTTATGCCATGGGGGAAGAACATATAAAAGAAACAAAAAAAAAATCACATAGTACATTAAAAACAACATTACGCTTTCTTTTTAGTGGAACTAATACTAATACAGGTAAAGAGCAAAGAAATTACCATGTAACTAACCCAGTAACTTCTTTAATTGAAGAAATGTATGGGGCTGGGAAGGTGGCTCAGTGGTAGAGTGCTTGCTTCGCATGCATGAGACCCTGGATTCGATTCCTTAGCACCACATAAGCAGAAAAAGCCAGAAGTGGTTGGTTCGGTGGCTCAAGTGGTAGAGCTCTAGCCTTGAGCTGAAGAGCTGAAGACAGTGCCCAGGCCCAGAGTTCAAGCCCCACGACTGAAATATATGCAAAAATTTTAATGAAAGGTTAATTTCTCCTTTTATCATCATTCCCAAAAATAACTGTGGTTAACTTTTTTTTTTAATAAACCTCTTTATTAGACTTTTCCCACAGCATTTGTCCTATTTGAATATTCAGCATAGTTTATTTATGCTATGTTTTTGTCGGTCATGAGGCCTGAACTCTGGGCCTGGATGCTGTCCCTCAGCTCTTCAGCTCAAGGCTAGCGCTCTACCACTTGAACCACAGCGCCACTTCTGGCTTTTTCTGCTTATGTGGTGCTGAGGAATCGAACTAAGGGCCTCATGCATGCAAGATAAGCACTTTATGTGGTTAACATTTTTTGTTGCCAGTTCTCTACAAGGAAAAAAAAAATAGGTGTTGGTGGCTCATTTTTCTAATCCTAGCTACTCCAGAGGCTGAGATCTGAATCCAGCCCTGGCAGGATAGTCCATGAAACTCCTATCTCCAATTAACCACCAGAAAACCAGAAGCAGCATTGTGGCTCAAAGTTGTAGAGCACTAGTCTTGAGTGCAAAAGCTCAGGCCGAGTTCAAACCCACAACCAACCAAAAAAACAAAAATTCATATATGTAATGTTGGTGTAACCTTTATTTATACAGAGAGATCATGTATTGCTCCATACTTGTCACCAGATATATAGGATTATGTCTGTAACAGCCTTATATTTAACCTGATCTTTTTAGTGTTTTAGGAAGCATTTTTAATTAGTTCTGTTTGTATATACATATATATATTTTTTTTTTTCCGTTGAGACACAGTTTCACCATATAGCCTTAAAGTGGGCTCAACGTAGTGTTTTTTCTGTCTCCGCCTCCTAAATTCTGGGATTACTGGCATGAACCAGCATTCCTGGCACAATGTCCTTTTGCCAGTATATTGCTAGCACATACTACTAGTGATGTACTTGATAGGTCAAAGCTGCCTTCCAGATAGTCCAGTTAATACACCCATTAAGGTGGCTGCTTTTCCATACTTAACAACACTAAGTTTTACCAAACTTAGTTTGTCCAAGGTCATCTAACCTAGAACTTTCTCAGGGATTCCTCCAGGTGCTTTAGGACATACAAAAGTAATAGTGAGCAACAGGTGTAACTAACTGTTCACTGTGTGCCAGGCACTAAGTACCTAGTGTTCACTTAATCCTCATCACACCTTTAGGAGTAAGTTATTGTTACTCCAAGATGAAGAAAACTTGCAATCAAAACCACATAAGGGGGCTGGGAAGGTGGCTCAGTGGTAGAGCGCTTGCCTAGTATGCATGAAGCCCTGGGTTCGATTCCTCAGTACCACATAAACAAAAGGCCAGAAGTGATGCTGTGGTAAGTGATAGAGCGCTAGCCTTGAGCACAGAGAGGCTCAGGGACAGTGCCCAGGCCCTGAGTTTAAACACTAGGACTGGCCAAAAAAAAAGAAGAAGAAGCAAACCCATAGGTAGTAAATGGTCAGACTAGAATTCATAGCCATGTTCCCTATCCAGTCTCTTAAACACTTTACTTTTTATCTAATCCCTGCCTAGAAGTTGCATCTAGTTGCTGAAAAACGTGTAATAGCCATATCTTCCATAGGCAATAAGCACAAGGAGGAGAGTGGCTTGTCCTGGTTCACTTACCACTCTTGGGATTTCAGTTCCCCTGTCAGAAGTATCTTACTGCCTACAGATAGTTAGTTGTCACACATAAAATATAAAGGAAGATAAGGAAGTAGGAGAAAAAAGAGAGAGAAGAATACTTATAATATGCCATTTGTAGGGAAATGGATGGGCCTAGAATAAGTCATGTTAAGTAAGCCACGCTCAGAGGCCAACGGCGCTTGTTTTCTCTCATGTGTAAGCTAGATCTAAAACACAACTGCGTGGTAACATATATAGGACTCAATACATTTACACACAAACTGGCTAAAGGAGTGGATACTTAGGAGAAGAACCCAAAGACATTACTCTTCTTAACAACTAATATGTTTTTTAACAAAACGAATACCAAGAAGTAGAAACATGTTTTGGGAGGTGGGCAAAGGAGAGAGTAACAGGAATGGAGAGAGAAAGGATGAGCAACTATATAATTCATCTTTTGAAAAATAACGGCAGAATTGAAAAAGGGATTCTGGGTCCTTTTTTTTCTTTAAAAAAAAAAAACAAGGTCTTACTATGTAGCCTATGCTGTTCTCAAACTTGTGTTCTTCCTGCCTAAGCCTCAAGTTCTGGGACTATAGACATGCACCATTGTGCCCACCCCAGACAGACAGTTTTGACACAGAAATAGCATGGAGTCAAATGAGTAGTGTGAAGACCAGTATAACTTGAAAATTCACGTTTAAAAGAATAAAACTACTGCCAGGCACCATTGGCTTATGCCTGTAATCCTAGCTACTCAGGAGGCTGAGATCCGAGGAATACGGTTCAAATCCAGCCTGGGCAAGAACGTCCATGAGACTCTTATCTCCAATTGACGACCAGAAAACCAGAAGTGGCGCAGTGGCTCAAGTGGTAGGGTACTAGCCTTGCGCTGAAGAGCTGAGGGACAGCGCCCAGGCCCAGAGTTCAGGCCCCACGACCAGACCGAAAAAAAAAAAAGAAAGCAACAGAGGGTAAGGGATTGAACTCAAAGCCTCAAGCCAACCTTAATAATGGGCATTAATCTCTTCATAAGATTGTATCCCTTATGATCTAACTACTCCTCATTTGGTCCCGTCTTCCAGTAATGTTATTTAAGGATTTGTTTCAAGCACTTGCTTTTTGGAAGCATAGCAGACATAGAAGCCAAAGATTGAATTGAGAATCCTAGCAGGACTAGGACTGCAGCGCACCAAGCATAGACAGGGCCCAGCTTTGAGTGCTAGTCTTATACACTATCACAAAAACGAGGTGCAAGCATATGTGGGTTGTACAGTCTAGGATAAGGGTGAAATCTCTAGAAAAGCACTGCTACAAACTGATAGAGGAAAAATAGGAGTTAGAGAAAACCGTATCTAGAACTAACCTGACTAGAAAATAGTTGCACTATTCATAAAAACCAAAAATAAGGAAGATAATTTTATATGTGTTTGTGCCAGTCCTGGGGCTTGAACTCAGGGTCTGGGTTTGACCATGATCTTTTGTGCTCAAGGCTAGCACTCTACCACTTGAGCCATAGTTCCACTTTTGACTTTCTGTCTCGGCCTGGCTCTTAACCATGATGCTCAGATCTCAGCCTTCTGTGTAGCTAGAATTAAAGGCGTGAGCCACCGACACCTAGCTAGGAAGACAAATTTCTACATTTAAAGATAGTATCAAATGTGTAAATGAAAATAAAGATGTGGCTTATTTGAGAAGGTCAAGTCATTACATAAATGTATATGATATCAAGCATGCACTATCACAGATATTTTTCATCTGTTAGGACAAGGACAGTGGGAAAACCTCTGTGGTTGTAGGCACATGGAACCAGGAAGAGCATATTGAATGGGCGAAGAAGAACACTGCTAGAGCTTATCATCTCCAAGACGATGGTACCCAGACAGTCAGGTAAAGACTATTTGCCTTTTAGGGCTGGGAATTTGGCTTAATGGTAGAGTGCAATTCTTCAGTACCACATAAACAGAAAAGGCCAAAGTAGTGCTGTGGCTCAAGTGGTAGAGTACTAGCCTTGAGCAAAAGAAGCTCAGGGACAGTGTCCAACCCTGAGTTCAAGCCCCAGGACTGGCAAAAAAAAAAAAAAAAAAGACTATTCGCCTTTTAAGACTCAAGACTATTTACACATATAAAAATTTACACACATAGGTAAAATCCCAGGTCAGTATCATTTCAGGGGACATCTTTTAGATCTGTTATCTCTGGGAAAAGCAACACAGTGCAACAGTTAAAGAGCACTAGTTTGTGTATCAACTACCTGTATTCAGTTGTTGGCTGCCTCTTCACCTTCCTTAGGCAAATCACATTATGTTTTCGAGAAGCCTCACTTTTCTTATCTAGTGATAGTTACCTTATGGGTTTGCCATTTAATTCATATGAAGGACAGTACCTGGTAATCACAAGCAGAGCAGCTGCTGGCCTTTGCCAGGGCTAGTGGTATGAATGGAGTGGCAGTGGCTCTGTGAGGGGTGCTAGTGACTGTGGCTCAGTTCTGTTTGGGTTGGGTTGGGTTTTCATTTTGTTTATTGTGGTGATAGAGATTAAACCCAGAACCTCACCCATGCTAGGCAGTGCTCTCCCACTAACTGTACCAAGCCCAACAACAGCTCCATCTATTAGAATCAAATAATAAAGCATATGCCTCTTTCATGTGTCATCTTTACCTTATAAGCTATTTAATTCATTTAAGTATACTCCAGCAATTTGCTTTGAAGCTTACCTTTCCTAATGTAATATAATGTATCTTTTGAGGTAATGGTTGAAAATAGCTGAACCAGTGACTTTCTGAGAAACTATATCACAAGGTTATATTGTGTATAACATGAGTAAATTGATCTATCTCAGTTCCCAAGAATAACTAAGCTTTAGCTTTTTTTGTGGTATCTTACTTAGTGAACTTAAATTATTTTTGTTCCTTCTTAGATGTTTCTTTCTTTTCTTTTTTTTTTTTAAACAAAGAAGGTTTCTACACTGACCAGTCAGGGCCACAGCAGGGGCTCTGGAGCTGGTACTGCGACCTAGATGTTTGTTTTTTTTATTCCTAGAACAGATGGCACTCAGATTGTTTTCAGAATGTGCTGCCCTTGGACTGACCAAAATCAAAGTTGGCAAAAATTAAGATGAAGACATTTAAATATTCAAATTGTCTTATGCCTATATGTTTTGTGTGAAAGTAGTTTATGGCATCATGTCCAACATTATTAAAGCACAAGAGGACACACTTGTACTCTGCACCTTGAGATTTTGCAGGGGAGGTGGTGGTACTGAGTTTAAATTCAGCAACTTTTATTTGCTAGGCAGGCACTCTACCACTTGAGCCATACTCCTAACCCCTTATTTAAGTCTGATACCTTGTCCTAGGCTTACTTTTGTACTTCCTACAATACCATATTTTAATGGTATTAGCTTGATAGAGAACAAAAAGAATTACTCAACAAAACCAACAATATATTGGTCTGGACAAATGAATAACTACCCAGCCTACACCAGTAGCTCAGGCCTGTAATCCTAGCTACTCAGGAGGCTAAGATCTGGGTGGAACCATTGGAAGCCAGCTTGGGCCAACAAATCCAAAACTCTTTTCTGCAGTTTAACCAGCAACCGAGGTGTGGTTCAAGCGTTAGAGCATCATCCTTGAGTAAAAAATGTGAAAGAACATGAGGCCTGGGAGTTTGTTTGGGGTTTTTTTGGTTTTGGTTTTTTTAGGGTTGAAAACTAAAGCTTTATTGGAATATCCACTCATTTGTTTATGTATTACCAGAATGCTTGCCCTAGTAAGACACCTTGTGTGCAAAACTAAGACTCATTCTCAAGAATAACAGGTCAAAAATATAACATGCTTAGTTCATTTAGGTAAAATAGGAAAGCTCTTTTCAGCCTTTTGGTGAAGGTGTATAACTTTAACATGTGACTTTACTCCTAGAATCTAAGCTATTTATATACAAATATTAGGCAAGTTACAAACTTATTAAAGTAATTCAAAGTATTTGTAATTTATATTCTCCTATAGAATCTGAAAGATTATATGACATAACCAAAAAAACCCTAGCACTTGCCACCACTACCCATTCCAATTATTCTGAACTAGTGAAACGTTAATAAAATTTGTGTTTTCTATTTCAGGATGGTGTCACATTTTTACGGGAATGGAGATGTTTGTGATATAACTGATAAACCAAGACAGGTGACTGTAAAACTAAAGTAAGTGAAACCATCAAATCATGCTTTATGCCTTTCACTATTTCCTATAGATAAAAGTTGTATATAAATAATAACTATAATTATGAACAATTATTAAGCTGTCCAAATCATTATACTGAGTCTACTTAAATGGTTATTTTTAGTTTAAGAGAATAATAGTTGAAAAGAATTATTTTGTATGATTTGGGCAGTACCTTAAAGTACTCTTTGTTTCAGATGTAAAGAATCAGATTCTCCCCATGCTGTTACTGTATATATGCTAGAGCCTCACTCCTGTCAGTATATTCTTGGGGTAAGTAAAGTGAACATATCAGAAATTCAGTTTGGGGTTGTGTATGTAGCTTAATGGAAGAATACTTGCCTACCATGCATGTGGCTCTATATTCACACAGTTTCAAGCCACATTTGTGTGTGTGTGTGTGTGTGTGTGTGTGTGTGTGTGTGTGTGTGTGTGCACGTGTGCTGATCCTAGGATTAGAACTTAGGGCATGGGCCCTATCTCCGAGCTTTTTTGTTCAAGGCTAGTGTTCTACCACTGAATCACAGCTCCACTTCTGGCTTTTTGGTGGTTAATTGGAAATAAGAGCCTCAGGACTTACATCCCCAGGCTGGCTTTAAACTGTGATCCTCAGATCTCAGCCTCTGGAGTAACTAGGATTACAAACAAGAGCCACCTGTGCCAGACTAATCTGGTTCCTTTTTTATGGTTTCTAAAATGAAAGTCCCTCTGGTCACATACATTGTCTACCTTTTGCACTGTTAATGTATTTTTTCATAATTACCATAACATCTCATAATTTCAACATCTGGTCTATCATTAAGATACATTTTTCTAAATCTGATCTCCTTCAAAATAAAAGTTACATTTTCTTCAACTTCTCAGTAAAACTGATTATTTTGCCATAATGTTTTCTATTTTTTGTTATATAAAACCCAGCTAAGTATTTCTCTTATATTCCTGTTCTTCCCATCCCTTCTCCCTTGCCATATTTACTTAAACATAAAAAATAATTTCACCATCAATCTCACATTGTATACAGATGTCTAAAGATGCTCTTCAAAAAGCTTACTTTGTATACATATTCACCTTATCAACTTTTTAATGGCTTTATTATTCTTGTTTCTTTAGGTTGAATCTCCAGTGATTTGTAAAATCTTAGACACTGCAGATGAAAATGGGCTACTTTCTCTCCCCAACTAAAGGATATTAAAATTGAAGGGGAAAAAAAAAATCCATTGAAAGTCATGCTGATTTCTGTCTGACCATGCGTCTCAGTACAGTGTTCTCAGACATGGGACCTCATCTAACAAATGCTATAAAAGGACTCAACCACTCTGTCATTATATTATATATGTATATATAAGAGCTTATTCATAAACTTCTAAGGCAGACATTTGTCTCTCTTTTTTTTTTTTATTTTTAATGTGTCTTAGAAACTGTCTTTGCTTGGATAGTGTGGTTTGAAAATAAATCTCATGGGCCGGGAATGTGTCTCAGTGATAGAGTGCTTGCCTAGCATGCATGAAGCCCCAGGTTCAATTCCTCAGTAGCACATAAACAGAAAAGCCTGAAGTGGTGCTGTGGCTCAAGTAGTAGTAGAACACTAGCTAGCCTTGAGCAAAAAGAAGCTCAAAAGCCCTGAGTTCAGATCCCATGAGAGGCAGAAAAAAAGAAGAAAAAACAATCTAATGCAAGCAACTTAGAATCTAGAATCTAGCCTATACAGATGTCATAATTGCTCAAATAAGATGGGAATTTATCAGGAATGGATAAATTCCTAGACATATGAGCTGCCTAAGTTGAACCAAGAAGATAACAAGTCAGTCAACAGGTCATAACTGTGCTTACTGAAATATTTTAAATAATAGGTTTATTAAGTAAATCACAATATATATAACTAGCTAATAAAAAATAAATTGATAGGAGGTTGTTCAAATGAGAAACCATGTGAAATATGTAAATTCCAGTACCTGAAATCCTTTCAATAACTTTTTATGGAGCAGCTGCTCTGACAGGCATTAAGTTAGAAAGTGGACACATCATAGAGCCATACCTGAGTTTTCTTTACCACTACTAACCTAAAGAAACTTATTTGTGAAAGGTTGCTTCTCCCTCCAAACTTTTATGGGTTTTTTTTCTCTTCATATAAGTGTTTACTCCCAAAGTATATATCATGTATGGTGATTATTCTCAGAGTTAGAATGATTACTCTTAACAAAACACACAATGGTAGGTATCTATTATATATGCCTACTGTGTATTACAGATCAGTTCTACCTGCCTACTGTGTATTACAGATCTTGGTTCTCAAAGGCTTTACAGCACAATATTTATTTTAAAGAGAATAAAATTGTTCACAAGTTGAGGGTCAATTGCGTCAGTGGCAGATTATTCACTTCCTCGGTTTTCCTGTTGCATATACGTTGAATATAATTGCCTAGGTTTACCAGTTCATTGAAAAGGGTACAGAGATGGGGCTAGGAAGGCGGCTCCGTGGTAGAGAGCTTGACTTTCATGAGGCCCTGGGTTCAGTTCCTCAGCACCACATAAGCAGAAAAAGCCGGAAGTGGCTCAAGTGGTATAGTGCTAGACTTAAGCTGAAGAGCTGAGGGACTGTGCCCAGGCCCAGAGTTCAGGCACCACAACCAACACAATTAAAAAAAAAAAAAAAAAAGGATACAGGGGTTAGAGGTGTGACTTAGTTTGTAGAGCACTAGCCAGTGAGTGAAAGTGTCAAGTACCAAGTTTGAGTTCCAGTCTCAGACCTAAAAAGTATACATATAAGGACAAAACTGGCCGTTGGGACTTCCACAGTGACTCAGTGGCAGAGCACCTGCCTAGCAAGAATGAGTCCCTGAGCTCAAATCCCAGGTACGAAGACAGGGAAGGGGAAGAGAGAAAAGGTAAAGGAATAAGAACTTTAGGCCAGCTAGGTTTACATAGCAAGACCCTATCTTTAAAAAAATAAATAGGGCTGGGAGCATGGCTTCTTGGTAGAGTGCTTGCCTAGCATGCATGACGCCCTGGGTTTTGATTCCTCAGTACCACATGCACAGAAAAAGCTAAAGTGGCACTGGCTCAAGTGGTAGAGTGCTAGTTGAGCAGAAAGAAACTCAGGGTCAGTGCCCAGGCCCAGAGTTTAGGCCCCAGGACTGGCAAAAAATAAAAAAGGAATCCATGACACTCTTATCTCCAATTAAGCACCCAAAAGCCAGAAGTAGAGCTGCAGCTCAAGTGGTAGAGCGCTAGTCTTGAGTGAAAAAGCTCAAGGATAGTACCCAGGCCCTGAGTGCAAGCCCCAGAACTGACATCAAGGAAGAAAAAAAATCACACTATAAACTTAGTTGTATTTTTGTTCTTTCTTTGTATAGGAACTCCATTAATAGCTGCATAAACATTTCGGGCTAGTAAGTCCACTGTTTCACTGTGTGAATGATTTCCTTATCCTGGGTAATGGTCTTTCCTTTGAAATATATATTATATGACAATAAAACCACTTTAGCGAGCCCAAGCCCAGTGCTATGGCTCATGCCTGCAATCCTAGCTACTTAGGAGGCTGAGATCTGAGGATAACGGTTTGAAGCCAGCCTGGGCAGAAAAGTCCATTAGACTCTTATCTCCAACAAACTACTCAGAAAAAGCCAGAAGTGCTGTGTTTCAAGTGGTAGAGTTGCTAGCCTTCAGCAAAAGAAACTCAAGGATAATGCCCAGGCCTAGATAATGTCCATCCAAGGACTGGAGAGAAAAAAAAATTTTTTTTTTCAGTCATAGAGCTTGAACTTGGGCCTGGGGACTGTCCCTCAGCTCTTCAGCTCAAGGCTAGCGCTCTACCACTTGAGCCACAGCACCACTTCTGGTTTCCTGTGGTTAATTGGATATGAGTCTCATGGACTTTACTGCCCAGGCTGGCTTTGAACCATGATCCTCAGATCTCAGCCTCAGAGTAGCTAGGATTACAGGTATGAGCCACTGGCACCCAGCAACTTTAGCTTTTTATTAATGCCACTGACACCTGGCAACTTTAGCTTTTTATTAATGCAATCATGATATGTTTTTTTCAGTCCTGTGCAGGGGATCAAACACAGGGTTTCATGCATGCTAAAACAAGTACACTCTACTACTGAATTTTGCCCGAACGGGGCCTAAGAATCTTGTGTTTCAAATAAAATTACCAAGTGATTCTGTTTATCTTAAATGAATTCTTCAGTGGTTGAGAATTACTGGTCTAATTCAATGGTTTCATATATACTAAGCCCCTAGATTAGAGTGTCAGGCAAATTTAGCAAGTAGGTCATCTTTGCAAGGGTTGTTTGTGACATGGAAACATCTTTTAAGTTCTACTTGTTGTTCTTTGAGAAACCACTAGAGGGAGCAGATAGTCCAGCCCTAATTTATACCTTGGATGAACAGTGTTGGCAACAAATTGTCTCAAAACTGAGTAAGCTTGTGTGTTCTGTCACGTGAACTACCCTTTCCAATCATCTGATACCTGGACCTGGCCTGATTTCTGATAATGTTTATATTACCAAGCACATAAATTAGGACATAGGACATATTATTAACCCAGTAGCACTGAAGAGCTAGAATAAAAGGCTTAAGCCCTTTATCTTTAGAAGAAAAAAAAAAAAGTCCCATTTTACTTTGTTAGGATTTGCAACCAAAGCTTCAAATGAAAATAAATACCAGCCAACTTTTGGGGGGCTTGAACTCAACTTGGGTGCTGTCCCTGCGCTCTTCAGCTCGGGGCCAGCACTCTACCACTGGAGCCACAGTGCCAGTTCCGGTTTTCTAGTGGTTTATTGGAGATAAGAGTCTCATGGATGTTAGTGCCCAGGCTGGCTTTGAACCACGATCCTCAGATCTCAGCCTCCTGAGTAGCTAGGATTACAGGTGTGAGCCACCGGTGCCCAGCTAATACCAAGCCAACTTAGATCTGATTCCAAACTCTATTCCTAGTGTTGAGTGATTTTACTTACCAATGTTTGTTATTTGTATTGAATATAGAAAAGGGCTCTGTCTCTCCCTTCTCCCTCTACCTTGGCTCCCTCCCCTTCCTCTCCTTTAGTAGGAATGGTGGAAAAACCACAATGCAACTCCACAAGGCATGCTTTATCTCTTCTGCAATATTGCCAAAACAAAGTTGTTTGCGCAAGCAGACAAGATGATCCAGTGAATTGTACATTGAAAATACTAGAATTTTTAATTTTTCACCTGTTAAAAATTAAGCATCAGAGCTGAGCATAGTGGTTCATACCTGTAACCATTCTAGCTGCTTTTAAAAGGTAAAGATCAAGACTTGAAGCCAACTTAGGCAAAAAGTCAGCAAGGCCCCAGGTCAACCAATAAGCTGGATATTCTCTGCTACTGAGTACAAGACATGAGCCAGAACATTACACACTCCGATTGTACCGTTTTATGTTCATAAATAGCTTGTGACAGAAACATCTTCCCCAGGAATCTCTCTTTACCATCTCCCACCCAAGAGAACATACAGAGCTCACCATAATACTCTGTAAGTGAAGGAAATGAGCACCTTAGTCCTGGCCATATAGGATCTCAAGTTTTCCATGTTGTTTTTATGGAACACACATCACTTTTTCTTAAGCTAGTACAATTTACACACCTGACAGATTAAAATACATTAGCAAGATTAAAATTTCACCTTAGAAAACAAGAAAAAAACTTCAATATATTAATTAATCAAACATTGGTTAAAGAGAAAAAGCAAATTCCTAAAAACATAGTTTTAAAAGTAAATCTTGGGGCTGGGAAGGTGGCTCAGTGGTAAAGTACTTGGTTCACATGCATGAAGCCCTGGGTTTCATTCCTCAGTACCACATAAGCAGAAAAAGCCAGAAGTGGTGCTGTGGCTCAAGTGGTAGAGCGCTAGCCTGAGCTGAAGAGCTGGGGGACAGCGCCCAGGCCCAGAGTTCAGGCCCCACGACCGACCAAAAAAAAAAGTAAATCTCACCAGTCATCAAAAAAATAGATTAAAATCAAAATGACCCTTTTTTTCATGAGTCATGAGGGTATTCAAATAAAGAAAGCAGAAAACAAATTCAACAGACCAGGTCATCTTTAATGGAAAGTTGAAGAGCAGAGTCATGGTGGCCTGAGAAGAGTCAGGAGACAGGAGATATGATGGGGACAAGGGACTTAAGTAGGGCTCTGGGTGGGGGCAGGGTCGAAGGTAGCCAGAGAGTTGCAAGGAGTTTCAGGATGTGCCTAGTGCCTTGAGAGCTTGTGGTAATAGGCTGAAGTGGAGGAACTCAGGTACCTGAGGCCCGAGGCATGGTGGGGAAGTGGGTTTGCATATTTAGATTAAAATTCTGGGCTGCAGAATTTCAAGCAGTTGGGAGGGTGCCGGGGTCAGTGGACCATGCCATGGGAG